TGTCCTGAGACGTCCAGCACTGGAGTTTGCAGGCAGTTGGATAGAGTCAGGTCTTGGTGCTGAGATGAGGACCTCTGGGGGGCCTCATTCCTATTAATATTCCCTGGGGTCTGAGGTTCTCCGTTAGTCCAGAGGTTTGGACTCGGAGCTCTCACCACAGGATCTTGGGCCCGACCTGTGACCTGGAAACCAAGATCCCACAAGCTTCACGGTGCAGTTAAAAAAAGAAGAAGAAAGAAAGGAACAGTACAATATCAAAGAATAAAATACAAAATAAAATTAGAAAGATAAAAAATATATTAGGAAAAATAAAACTATAATTGAAACAACTTCAACAAGGTAAAATACAACCACAACAGAAAAAAGAAAAAAAAAAAAAAGCCCTGGCTATGCGGGTGGAGTTTAGGTGGGGGTGGAACTTAGGCAGGGGTGGGGTTTAGGGTGGGGTGAGTCCTAGGTGGTTAGGGGAGTGACGTTTGAGCATGGGGCAGGGCCTAGGCTCAGGACCTAGATAGCTGGAAAAGTCCTTTGGGGGCGGAGCCTAGGTGGGGTGACATTCAAGCATGGGGTGGGGTGTCCGCTTAGGACCTGGGGAAGGGGAGAGGCAGCACATCCAAAGGAGGGCCTCTGGAGTGTGGGGTTCTGGAGTTTGGAGGTAGGGCCCTGAGTGAGGGTGTGTGGTTGGGGTTTAGGCCCAGCTCATTGGACGGGGTCTCCCAGTGTAGAGGTGGGGCCCTGGGTGGGGGTGTAGGGGCGGGGCTTGGGCTCCAAGGACAGAGGACTAGGCCCGGGAGCCCAACAGTCTTCCTGGTGCCTGAGTGGACAGGGGACGCACTGGCCACGTTCCCTTCTGTTCCTCTGCGCCCCTCCCCCACCTTCTCTCCCAGGTTCTCGCCCCCTAACGGGGGTGGGTACCGCTTGGTGTAGGAGCTCCTCACCTCCCCCAGCCGCCCCTCGGGGGTGCCGGTCCTGGAAGTCCGGCCTTTACTTTTACTCCGCCTTGCCTTCCTCCCACTCCCTCAGGACCTGCACAGCTGGAGGGAGCCTCTGTGGGCAGAGGATCAGGCCTGGGTCTTCAGCAGTCTCCCAGGGGCCCACATGGGCATGGTAAGCCTGGCCATGCTCCCTTTTGATCCTCTGCCCTCCCAGTGGTTCCCCAATTTCCCCTTTCAGGCATGGGATACCTTCCCCTCCCACAGCCACCCCTCAGGGGCGCCCATCCCATCCCACCTCCACTTTTCCTCCCCCTTCATTACCCCCACACCCCACGTCCTACCCAGCCACTGGGGGTTCCTCCCGTCCCCTTAGGTGTCCGTGGTCCCCCACCAGTGCCTGGTAGGTACCCTAGTTGTGAGGAGACACGGATTCCGCATTCTCCCAGTATGCTGTCTTGACTCCGCCTATGAGATGCCTCTGCATGTTTCAGTTACTAGGCCTTCGTGATTCTTGTGGCCCTGGCAATGGGACTGCCGTCTTGATTTGCCTCACCCAGGAGAAGCCATTTTTAAAGTTCCCCCTTCTTCCCTTTCGCTGGTGGAATATTCCTGCTTTTCACCTTAGAACCCCATCGCTTCCTGAAAGTCCCACTTTCCCCTAAAGTGATTGACAGCATTGACCTCCATATTTTCCTCTTGGCAAGAGCAATCTGGTGTCATGGATCTTTAATTCTGGTTAGTGGCTATAGTTAGTGAATATAGGAATGTCTGGCACAGTTTCAGAGCACTAAAAGTTACTTGGAACAGGCAAATTCCTTCCGTTGCTCCTTGAGTAATGGCCTTTGTATAATTGCCTTTTGCTTCTTTGCAAAGAATCTACTCTATATAGCAGGGTTTTTTTTTTTCCCCCTTTACACATCCTGCTTCATGGATGCCTGTTATAATCTTATGAAAGAGTGATGGTAGCTACAGTGTCACAATATTTCTGTAGCAGTTTAAGACTGGTCCCTGATATTATATACGAGGAGCAGAGATAAACCTTTTTCCTCCTCCTATATTTCCTCCTATACAGGAGGAAACTTATATTTCCTCCTCCTATGTCTGTGTGTTTTGGGGCCTGAGAGGGAGAGAGAAAGAGAGAAGGAGAGAGAGAGAGAAAAGAAAAGGGGGGGGGAGGGAGAAGGCTCTTTAAAGGATCCCACATTCTCCTGCTGCCTGCACTTGCAAACCTTTCCATTTATTCTTCTGTTCTTCCAGCTGGAGCTGTCAATGGTTTCTACCCAAAGACCACAGTGGTCATACCTGCAATCAAACAGGCTGAGTTTGTTGCTTATTGCAACAAGGAGAACCCTCACGCAGGGGAACCATGGAAGAGTCTCATTACAAAGGTGTTAAGGATGACTTGTCATAGGATTTTAGGTTGAGTTAGCTGTTTTGCGTGGGGCGTTCAAGGAAAGGGAAAATTGCTTGGGATTAAATGGTGCCAGGAGGTGAGGGTAACTGGTTAAGTATCTTTGTAAGTATTATTTAGGAGGATGGAGGAATAAAATAAGGCTAAATCTGTAACTGATTTAAAAAGTCAGTTGTTATTCATATTATCCAGGAGAGGACTTGGTATTTTTGTGGTTTGCACAGTAGCCTTGCTTTTTGTCTGTGCTTAAACCAGTTTGTAAAGTACTTTTGGGGTTTATTTGTTTTGGGGGGTTTTTTTTGGTCCCAACTCATTGTAGTGACAGAGTGACCTTGTCTAATATTGATGTTCTGTGAGCTTGTTTATGCTCAGTGGGAGAACACCAAGGCCTAGCTCTGGACGCCCACCAGCATCTCACACCACCAAGGCCTCCCTGAGAGTACCAGGCCACTAGCCCCTAGCTTTTAGGGGCTGTCTTTCTCTTTCTCATAGTTAATTATTTAACATGAGCAAAATAATAAGGGGACCACCTGTCGTGCAGGCCAAGAAGAGTGTGGGTTTTGGAATCAGCTCACCAGCTGGATACTTCCTTGGGTGATTTGTTTTTCCTCTTGAGCTTTATTTTCTCCATATGTAAAATGAGAATAACAGTAGTAATGTTGAAGATTAAATGACATGATGCATATAAAGCACGCAGTACCTGTTATGAATAGTAGTCACTAAAACTGTTATTATTTTATTATTATTATACCAACAACATATCCCTTCCCCTACATTCGAAAGTTGTGAGTGGTGGGAGTCGTGTACTAGAATTAGCATTTAGTTACCTTATACCATGAATCAGAAAAAATACAAATTCTGCAATTCCTTCTTTTCTTCCCCTCTTTCACCGTGATGTGGCCTTGGAAAGGGGCTCACTTCTCATCAGACATTAAAGTGGAAGGAGCTGTAGATTTAAAAGAAAAATAGAATCCAGTTTAAAAATTATCCTTTTTATTATGTAGAGTTAGGTGAAATGAATTAAATGGGTCTTTCATTATTTAATTTGAGCAATAAATCCCATTGACAGGTAATAAAAGTCTCCTCATCATAAGCAAGCGATGTCTATTACAAATGAGGCTCAAGAATAGCTTTCTGAAGTTCCCCCCACAAACAGCACAACTTCGTAACCCACAAGCTGGGCACATGGGTGCGTTTAACTGTGTCACATCACAGAATGGCTGTCCTGACAGACTTTTGTCTGTATAGCTTTGCTTCCACCATTTGTCCTAGGGTTCTATCCGTCCGTGTTTTTTTTTTAATAATTTTCTTTTTCTTAATAATTAATTTTTATTTTAATAACTTTATTTTATTTTACTTTATCTTCTTTCTTTCCTTCCTTCCTCCCCTCCTTTAGACAACGAATCATCCCAAATTGAGGAGGTGGACTTTGAGAGCAAGGTTTATGATTTTTGTTCTTAACTTGTTGAGACTTGTGTTCTTAATCTAAATTAGCTTCTGTATTGACAGAAGATGTCCCCAGGCCTTTGACTTTATCCTGCTGCAGCTACCCAGCAGCTACCTGGAGCACTGCTACTCACAGTGGGCTCCTTGGAATATACTGGTCCACTGAAATACTTATTACCAAGATAAGTACAAAAATTGAGAGTAAGCTCCTAGAAACCGTTATAGCAAGAAGGTATTGCCACACCTTCTAAGCATATGGTCAGTGGGCTTGTATTTTGTATATCTTCTTTCTTTAATGTTTCAGTCATTCATTTTTATTGAATTTTATAAAAGTATCAATCTGCAGTAGATCAGAAAAGAAAATGTCCATAACCGCAGGTAGTTTGATGAGCACCGTCCCAAGCCAATGCCAAGCCTAAGATGAGATAACAGAAGCAGAGCCTTGTATCCAGGCACATCCGAGCTTTGAGGAAGAGATGGTGGGAGACGCAGGGTGGGGTGAGGAGGGTGGGAAGTGTTCGTCCTTGTGACGCAAAACTCAGTACAAGGATTTTCGCTCTAAATGTATCCTCTTAAAGGAAGCACAGGATGACAAATTTGGGACATTTGATTTATTTTAGTCCAGTCTCATATCGTCAGGGATTATATAACTCTATTCAGCCGTCTATTTCAGAGTCTACTCTTAGAAAATGTGTCTAAAAGTATCTAGCCTACATTCTTCATTTTTCATTTTTTAGGTCTTTCTCATTATCTTTCACAAACCAAATGAGAATTGGGTCTTTGGAAATCTTTTTTGCTTCATGGATATAATTTAAAAATAAGCTTTGGTGCCCAGGATGGAATTTGTGTTATACTAAATGAGTACAGGGCAAAGAGCTTCAGCATCTAATGGAGCTTCCATGCATTTTCTGTCTGAAAGCTTGTGGTCAAAAATAGCTGGAGGGCTTCCCTGCTGGCGCAGTGGTTGAGAGTCCGCCTGCCGATGCAGGGGACACGGGTTTGTGCCCCGGTTCTGGAAGATCCCACATGCCGCGGAGCGGCTGGGCCAGTGAGCCATGGCCGCTGAGCCTGCGCGTCCGGAGCCTGTAAAAAAAATAGTTGTGAGTGCTGCCCTTGATTGAGTGCTGTGTACATTGCTATTTCTAACCAACTGCTTACAATGTTCACTGTTAAGAGGTATCTCTTTTAACTAATTTTACCTCCCCCAGGTGTTGGATTAAATGATGGGCAGTGGCATTCCATCTCTTTGTCTGCCAAAAGGAGTTACCTGAGCGTGGTGGTGGATGGCCAAGTGGCTTCTGCATCTCCTTCCCTGGGGCCTGAGCAGATTTATTCAGGGGGCACCTATTATTTTGGAGGTAAGAGAAATGGTTGCTCCATGTGGGCGGTTGAACCATGTTCGCAGTCACTTGCCCTGTGTCTTAAAGTCATCGTGTTTTAACCAGTGTGAATATTATGGAATAATTTCTCACTTTCTTTGAACATGGAAATGTTGAGTAGATCACGATGATTAATTATGACCTGAAATGCATTTCTTTGAGGTGGACTGACTTATGTTTATGATTTCTATAATGAGGTTGTTTGCAAGTAGACCATGCTCTTCAGTTCTTACTTTCAAATTTTGTTACATTTTCCTAATGTTGAATGGCCTTACATGTATGTCTTTTTCAGATTTTATGGGCTCATTTCATTGCACTGTGTGTTCCTGATCATGCCTCTTAGCTTTTCTAGAGCATTCTTATTGCTTTCCTGCTGCTCAGTGCAGGTCAATATTATGCCAGTGGACAAATAATCTAACTTAATTAGCCCCAGAAGCCTCTTCTCACTGCTAAGTAATAATGCACTGATATAGTTGATAAAATGAAGGCATTAGCCTTCAGTACCAGGCCATCTCTCTTAAAGAACAAAAGCAAATGAAGTGTTTACTTGTCCAGTGGATGTTTGATTGAACTAAAATCTTCAAAAAGCAAATCTTGGAAGTGGAAATGAATCTTTAGCACTGGAAAATTAAAATAAGACAATACTTGGCATTAATTAGAAAGACAAAGTTGTAAAACTGTTAGTAGTAAGACTTATTTTTAATCATGACTTGAGGTGTTTCTTCTTGTTATTTTGAAATGTAATCATGACTTCTGTCTGGAATCACTTTTGAATTTGGTTGAAAGCCCAGTCTTCATTATTCATCAATAAAATACAAATTCCTTTCTAAGAATTGACAGTAAGTACACAGACCGTGAATCATTCATCTTATATTAAGAGTGAACAAACAAACCAAAAAACCCCTACATAATCCATTACTGTGAAAGGCAGCATAATGCCAACAATCTTAAAAGATATAATTGCTTCCTTTAGGGTGATGTGTTCATTTATAAACCAAGTGGTTTATAAAACCTTATGGAATATATGATTGATTTCATAGCAGTCCATAGGAACATGTTCCTTTAATACATGGTAAGATATACAAACAGTCCCTGACTTAGGATTTTTCAACTTTATGATGGTGCGAAGAAATACACATTCAATAGAAACCATACTTTGAATTTTGATCTTTTCTCAGGCTAGTGACATGTGGAATAATACTCTCTCAGGATGCTGGGCAGTGGCAGCGAGCCACAGCTCCCAGTCACCCACGCAATCCCAAGCGTAAACAACAGATACACTTAAACCATTCTGTTCCCACACAACCAATCTGTTTTCACTTTCAGTACAGTATTCAATAAATTACGTGAGTATTCAACACTTTATTATAAAGTAGGGTTTGTGTTAGGTGATTTTGCCCAACTGTTGGCTAATGTAAGTGTCCTGAGCATGTTTAAGGTAGGCTGGGCTAAGCTATGATGTTTGGCAGGTTGGATATATTAAACACATTTTTGACTTAGGATATTTTCAACTTACAATGGGTTTATCAAGATGTAACCACACTGTAAGTCAAGGAAGATCTGTGTAGAACAACTTAATCAAGAGCTTTCATTTCAAAGGAAAAGATTTAGAAGCACCAAAAGAGGTAAGAAAAAAACCCAAACATTTTGTTAAATGATGCAAAAAAGAGATGTTAAAAATAACAGACTGCATAAAAGTGTAAGTAATGAAAATAGACTCATCATTCTTAAATTATTTTACACCCTTCGTGTTCAGATTTAATGATGCCTACCTATTTCTTGTACAAAATTTTGATTGATTTTTATTCATACTATAATATTTTATAATGAAATATATCACATGTGTACTCTGTAATTTTGCTTGTTTTTATTATGATACATATAATATACACCATTTTAATTAAATGAACTTAATAATTTTTGAATAGTTTTAGATTTACCAGAGGGTTGCAAAGATACACTGGGAGTTGCCAAATAGCCCACACCCAGTTACTTTGTATTGTTCACATCTTACATCATATATACAATTTAAAGAATACTAATTATTATTTTTAAAATACACATCTGCACATGCATTTTCCAGCTTAAGAAAGATAACATTGCCAACATCCATTTGTCACTCCATGATCATCCCTCCTCATCTCCCCAGGTAACCATCGTCTTGAATTGGGGTTTTATGCCTCCTGTCATGTTCCTTGTGATTTGACATCTGTGAAGGTGTTCCCGAGTCCCTAAACAATATACTGTGAAAGCTTCCATAATAAAAGTCCAGCTTCAGGGCTTTTATTTAAATAACCAGTCTTAAGTTTACTTAGGCAATATCTCTGTTTGTTCAATCATCTTCTCAGTTGGTAACCTTAAGTACCAGAGTATGTTTGATCTTGTCATGAGCTTCTATTAATCACTAAGTATATACCCTGCAAGCCCCAGGGCACCCTGACATTTCCAGGGCTGCGAGCAAGGGTCCAAAGGAAAGCAGGAGGCCTCCTGCTGCCACATTTCTCCCTCCTCCTCCCAGCCTTGCGCCTCCAGGACCTGGTGGAGGAGGTCCATCCTTCTGGAAGCCCAAGTAGGGCTTCTGGGGTGGGAATTCTGGATTCTGGGATGGGCTAGAGGGGAGCAGTTTCCAAGTGGGCACATCACCTTCCCCTGTGAGACCCCCTGTTGCCATGGGCAGAATCGTGGCTGGAGGAGGGTTAGAATAGGGTCCCCTAAAGGGCAGGACTGGCTCAGGGGCTCATTGTCTGAGTGGTACTGGCAATGGGGTGACCAACGATGCCAAAATGTTGGCTCTCCGTGCACCAATGCCGAAAAGAAATACAGAGCAGAGTTTTGGAGGAACGAGAAAAAGTAGCTTTATTCTTTGCCAGGCAAAGAGAGGACACAGCAGCCCCCACCCCCTCCCTCCCTGGGAATAGGAGAGATTTTATATCCTAATGAAGGTCTTGCATTTTTTTTTTTCTTTTGCAAAATTTCGAAACAGCCACAGCTGGCATCAGGCGACTTGGTAACTGGGGTTGGTCTTTTCTGGAGTTATTGGCCGGTGACCTTCTTTCTGAAACAAAGAATGCTACAAGGGAGTGTAAGGGGAGGAGAAAGCCAGGTGCAGAGTGTAATTCATACGGAGTCAGAGAGTAATCAGCTTTGTGAAGAAGTCCAGCTACAAGTGTTGGTTAGTAGTAACAGCTAAAGAATGACCAAGACTGCTTAACTCTTTCAGGCCTGTTTATGTTGTTTCCCAGCCTGTTCACTGTTTCCTTATTTTCCTTGTTTATCAGAAAAGAGGAGTCTCATTTTTATTTAAGAGAAGTCTTATTTCTATTTTTGCTGCACCACCAACTCTCCCGTTTTAGCACTGAAAGCCTGGAGTCCTGGGAGCAGCCTCCCTGCTTCCCACCCCCAGAGCAAACTTGGCGTTTGGTCACCCTAGAAAACCTTCTCTGCTGTGTGGATGAGAGTCCCCTTTATTCCTAGGATCTGTTTTATCTAGATGGAGGGCTTTCTTTAGGTGGTTAATTTGGGGGCAGTCTGTCCCACCAGCCTGGGTTGTATTCGTTTTCTGTGTCAGTCTTGAGTGTGACTGTTGAGAGAGTGGGCTGCCCGGAGCTCACAGCATTCTGCACATACTGCCACACGCCACTCTTCGGCCATCATTGTTTACGTTTTCTCCCTCCTCAAATGTATGCCTTTCAAAAACTTACTGAGGTCAGCTTTTATCATTTATAAACTATAAAATTTAAATCTGGGTTCTCCAGATTGAGGATGGAGGAAAGTTTAACTTCTGTGCACTCCCCTATGCAATCTTTGTGCGATTGAATAACACACTGTGCAGCACAAGCTAGAGATACTAGACTGTGTGCAGAATCCTCACACTCCTGCTTGTATAAATCAGACATTATCCATCCAGTGAACTGGCTACACCACCCTGAAGTCAAACCCGACATCTTACTTCTGGTACGTGCAGTGATCATTTATCTGCCATGATCATTTATATGCTGCCTGCCTCTAGTAATGGATCCATCCATTAATTCAGCATGAAGTATTCCCTAGAAATCTTCATATTTTAGAACTTTCATCCCAAACCAGTTCAGTGCTGAATTTCTCTCTGCTGTTGCATTATATTAACCTGTGGATGTCTGTTATCATAGGCTAATGAGACTAACCTGGGTTGAACCCTACTTTGTTCTTTAGAATCTCTTGCTTATTAAACACTGTAGCCAGGAATGTGAAGGGCCTCATAATATGACCGCTGTGCTCTCTGTAAAGTTCCATGACCTCTCCTTGTGACTGTGAGTTTGCTTAGTTTTGTTCCCTATAGAGGCATACCGCACAATTAATTTTATTCTGAAATTGTTTGAAATGTGTCAGGAAACACCATCTGGAGAAAAGGAGGTTAGCAGCGCTGTTTATATTCCTGGCATATTGTAGCTGCCCCCAAATATTATTGAACTGCTGTCCTCTCGGTTTTTATTTTAACATTCTTAATTGGTTAATAAGTCATCTAGAAAACACATCCAGATTATGGTAACTGTATCCTATACCACAGAAGAATTTTAAGCACTGAAAGTGTGTGTAGAACCATGTACAATTGACTGGTACTCAAAAAACTTTCATCCCCTTTTCTTGATGTATTAAATTTAAAATTTCAGTCTCCATTGCTTAAAATATAATATTTCAATGTGCCTGATAACAGTTTTAAGCATGAATCCTGGCCTTTCCTTGCTGGGTAAAAGTATTTTGTTAGGAAAACAAAGCATTAAGGAGAAACATCCTCTGTCAAAATATTTAATTATAATGGAAATTCCCAGGTAGAAAACTAGCATGGATTGTACAGGAATTAGGGAATTGCTGATTCATTTCTTATTCTTTGAATTTATATTAGTGGTTGACAACCGTAACAGCAAAGAAAGATTAATGAAGAATACATAAATATAATATATGTGTTCATACTCCATAAAATTGTTTATTTCACTTGGATAGAGAAACACTGAGAACATCATTAAACCCCGGACAAAAATAGTTAATATTATAGTTCTTTATTATTTAAATAATTAGAAACAGGTCTTAGATAAATGTTAGAAAAAAAATCAATATAAACGGAACACTCCTTTATGAGGCAGAGAATAAAGTCAAACAATGAAATGTTTTTGACATTAAGCCATTATGATTTATTAAAATGCATGTATATGTGGCTCTTATATGCATATGAGAAGTATTTAATTACATAAATAGTTGTAATTTTATTCCAAGTCGTCGTAACTCCTTTTCCGAATAGCCTTAAACACAAAGGTATTTCAGCATTATTGATTTGTCTTTTCTTATATACAGTGCATGTTTTCATCCTTTATGCTCTTCCTTTTGCATCCCAAAAGACTAAGTTCCTGTGTTTGAGTTATATATAATTTAATACTGCTGACTGACATGTTCAGGATACTGGAGCTGATCTGTGTATTTCTAAAGTTGGGATCAAGTTAGTATCCTTGCACATAATTATTATAACAGTAGTAATTTCCTGTGAATCCTGTGGTAATAAAGAGAAATATGTTTGTATGAATTGCTATTTGTAATTTAGATCAAATGAATGATGACTGTGGTAGGCTTTCCCCTCCATTTCAATTTAATAATCAAATGCCTATTTAAAAATTTTTTTTAGTGAAGATACTGAGTCCTGGTTCATTATGATGTATCCTGATCAACTTTGTATTGTTTTGTTTTTATCAGGTTGTCCTGACAACAGCTTTGGATCCAAATGTAAAAGTCCACTTGGTGGGTTTCAGGGATGTATGAGACTCATTTCTATCGGTCACAAGATGGTAGATCTGATTTCAGTGCAGCAGGAGTCCCTTGGGAACTTCAGCGACCTTCAGATAGACTCATGTGGAATCACAGACAGGTAAAGGCAATCTCACTTCTTTATTTTGACCTGTCCATTTTCAGACTTTTGGCAGCAGATTGAAATTTGTGTGTAAAACAAACATTTTTCTCTCCTTTTTCTTACCAGCATCTGTTCCACAGGAAAGAGATAATATGCACATTAGAAATAAGAAAATATTCTTTTAGTTTTCTACTTCATATTTCCAGTGATAAAATTTAGCTAGAAGACACGTGACCATGTTATTTATATGTACAAATAGCTACCAATTCACAAAAGGTGATGTTGATGCTGTTATAATTTTAGGGGGGTATAAATGTATCAAAAATATATCATTAAACGCAATAGCTTAGGGTTTCCTAACAGTAATCTAGACCATCAGGTACCAGTAAATCAGAGACCTATGTGGTCAGTTATCAAACTGGCTTTTGCTTCCCTGACAGCTGAATAATATTTCAGAGGCATAGGAATTTAACTGGTTGCTATGGTCCTGATGTGTACCTTTAAGAACCCATTACTATCTTCTCTGCAGGGAAAATGAAGAGGAAACTCCCTGTGAAAAAGTTTGGAGCCGTAGTGTTGATAAACGTGTGAGGATGATCCAGTAGTTTCAATAGGAACTCCAGTACAGGGCATGCTAGTGCAAGCTTTGGGCGTTCATTGCAGAGGACAAGTAACTTTTAATATAATAACTGATAGTTAATAATTTTAAAGTATTTTTAGGCATGGGCAACTATAGCCAAATAATCTTGCCAGTCATCAAGGCAGTTATTTTTAATTATTGAGTTGAATGGAATGTCATAGCCATTCCAGATTAAAAAAAAAGTAAACAATGTGACAAACTTAACCCCAACCGTGTAGTAGTGTTCAATATATATTTTGAGCAAACAGATAAATTCTGAGTTTTTTTAACATATTTTTTTCATTTTTGGCTGCGTGGGGTCTTTGTTGCTGCGCACAGGCTTTCTCTAGTTGCGGTGATGAGTGGGGGCTACTCTTCGTTGCGGTGTGTGGGCTTCTCATTGCAGTAGCTTCTTTTGTTGCAGAGCACGGGCTCTAGGTGCGCAGGCTTCAGTAGTTGCAGCATGCGGGCTCAGTAGTTGTGGCTCGCGGGCTCTAGAGCGCAGGCTCGGTAGCTGTGGTGCACAGGCTTAGTTGCTCCGTGGCATGTGGGATCTTCCCAGACCAGGGCTCGAACCCATGTCCCCTGCATTGGCAGGCAGATTCTTAACCACTGCGCCACCAGGGAAGTCCCAAATTCTGAGTTTTAAAAATAACTTTTTATTTGTATGAAGCATTTTATCAACATAAACACACATCTATTATATCTGAAGACCGTTTATCAATGTCTGTTGATCCTGTTTTGAACACTAGTAGACATTATTCTATGTGTAGAAAAAAATAATTATAATCTTATTTAGCAATGGATTAGAAGGACATCATTTCCTCTCTATGAATATGTGTTTATTTAACTCAATTTGTAGAGAAAATAATACTTTCTATAATGAAAGATGATAAAGGGAGAATTGAGACGATAAACCTCAGTTGGCTTGATTTGGGGAATAAATGACAGTGACCATCTCCGTAATTACAGCCACGCCAGCTCAGGAACGTTAATCCTGATTTTGGGGAAGCCCTGTAGCAAGGCTCCCTGGGCCAGCTCTCTTGAGGTGGGTCTCACTCACAGAAGCAGGGAGCCCTCACCCTCAATGGGTGGGGAGGTTCGGTCATCCACACTATGAGTGATGGTCATTTTGACCATCTCAGATCGCAGAACATTCTTTTGGTACAAGTAGACCCACACCTCTCCAATATGGGTTTCTCTGAAGCTGCCATTTTACACAAGGAATCCATCTTGCCTGCTTTCTGGAGGTGCACGCTTGTAAAACAGAGCATGATACAGCACAATAGGAGAATTATGGTTTTGGTACCACACCTTAAAAACGCTTTTCAGAATTAGCAAATTATGGATAGATCTTGTCTATACATTTTTTAAAGAAAATTTTAGGCTAATGGTAACCCTGGAAATCATAAAAATAACAGCAAAAACCAATGTACCTTTTATATTTGTATACCTTTTAAACTTCCAAAAGTATCTCTAAATTCATTCCATTCTCTTATACTCAGAAGAAAATATGTATCCATCTATCTTGGTCGTATTTGCTATACCTGTTGACATAGCTTCCAAAGCATTATTAAATAGAGACTTAAAAAAAACCCTGTTTACTAGGTTGTATTCTAACTTAACATGAATTAGTATTTAGGTTTGTGTGTGTGTGAGTGACTTGTGTAGGGTGATGTGAGTGAGTGAGGGGCCTGGGAATGTGTCTGAATGACCTTACAAGTGTGTGTGTAGGGATGGTGTGGCTGTGTGTGAGCGTGTACATGTGTGAATGTACACATGCATGGGTTAATGCTTGAGGACTTGTGTGATTGTGTGTGTCACGACTTGTGTGAGTATGTAGGGCAATTTTGGATATGTGAGTGAGCTTATGCATTGTGTGAGAGACTTGTGCAATGACTCTGTTCTAAAATTTATTTTAAATAAATAAATTGATATGTATTTAAATTAATCTTCACAAAAACCCTTAGAACCTGTTCTTAGAGTGTTTGTTTCTTGTAAACATGGAAATAGATGCACAGGGCGTTTAAGTAAGTTGGCTAAGGGGACATGGCTAAAGGCAGAGCCCAGCATCGGATCTAAGCCCCCTTGCTCCAGGAAGTCCCCCTGCGTGCTAGCTGCCCTGTTGTACCACTTCCCTGGGTGCACGTCAGCATGTATTGCGGTTCGTGCTTAATCTATGTAGATTAAGCACAGAATTTTATGGCTTAATAAATTGCAGTTGAAACAAACAGGAACATTAAAAATATATTTAAAAATCTGACAGAGGGAGTTCCCTGGCGGTCCAGTGGTTAGGACTCCATGCTTTCACTGCCGAAGGGCCGGGTTCAATCCTTGTTCGGAGAACTGAGATCCTGCAAGCCATGAGACACAGCCAAAAAAACCATCTGACAGAATCTTAAACAGTGTTGTTCTCTTTTTACTGTAACTAAGTTGGATCAAACCTACATATAAAGGTGTACATAAATTTACATATGTGCTCACACTCACACCCACACAGTCATTTATACACATTCTTTATGTGTAAACTAATGTCATTGTACAAATCTCACACACACATCTATACACGCATACACTCATATCTCAAAGCCACTTGTCACACACAATCTACACACACACACACACACACACCTCCTCACTCATTCATCCTTACACAAGCACACTCACACACATACTCTCACAGACCCATAGCATCTTTACACATGCACCTGCACACTCATAAGATCATTCCTATACTCTTTACACACTCACACCTTTCTTACTCACAGACACAGACACACACACACACACACACACACAAACACACTCATCTAGAAGCCCTCCCCTTGTCCTCTGTGGACCTGCAAGGAAATCTGCGTGGGGGCTGACTGAGGCTGATGGCCATCAGTCCCTCGATGGAGGTGAGGACAGAACTGCAAAGGGAGCTGTCCTCCATGTCCCCATGTCTTGGGGCAGCAACCCAAGTGGGAGTGGGGTAAGGGTGACAATTGATAAGGACACAAATATTTATTAAGTTGCTTGGACCTAAACCACTTATTAAGCAATAGTGTTAAGGAAATCTTTTGATATCAACTTTTTAAGAATATCAACTGGGGCTTTCCTGGTGGTGCAGTGGTTAAGAATCCGCCTGCCAATGCAGGGGACACGGGTTCCAGCCCTGGTCCAGGAAGATCCCACATGCCATGGAGCAACTAAGCCCGTGCACCACAACTACTGAGCCTGCGCTCTAGAGCCTGTAGACCACAACTACTGATCCCACATGCCACAGCTACAGAAGCCTGTGTGCCTAGAGCCCATGCTCCATAAGAAGAGAAGCCCGCGCACTGCAACAAAGACCCAACACAGCCATAAATAAATAAATAAATAAAATCATACACACCAGTTCAGTTTGGGGCATGTTGATATACTCGTTTGTTTATGTTCTACTTTGTATCGAAATGACTCTCAGGGAGAAAAGTATAAAAGATAATTGTTTAAAACCTTTAGTGAGAATGAGTACTTCACTCTACAGTGTAATTTGCCATAGGTTACTAGTAGTCAAACAGAACTACTATATGATGAATTTAAATAAAATCCACAATCCAGTCTTTCACATTGTAATTAAAAAATATGAAAAGTCAAGTCTAACAGGAATCTAGGAAAATGGACACAGTATCTTTTGCAGCAGATCAAATAGAAATAGTACATGTATCACAATAGATTCATTCTTTAGAATTTTAGGTGTAGTCACTCATATCTGCCCCCTTTTAAAACATTGTTCGAGGTCTGTTAAAGAATAGCCTTCTCTGTCCTTTTCTTTTCTGATTACCAATTAGAATTGTTTTTGTTTTAATTTTATTTTAAAAATTCCCTCTTTCTTCTAGATTGTTATTGATTTGAAATGCTTAAAAAATTAAATACCTCTTTAAATATTCTTTGACTATCCTGTGAATCTGTAAAATCTATAAAAATGCTAAAATACATATAAACTTAATCAGCATGGAAAGATGCCCTTTATTTTTTTTTGAATCCTTAAAAAGGCTGTAAAGTAGCGTGTACTTTATGATTACATTTATGAACATAATACGTTATACACAACACATATATGTTTATAGTGGTAATTTTTATATATTGAAATTATAAATTATATTTCTTCTCTATTGTTTCCTATATAGTTTGATTTCTGTACAGCGGATATGTATTTTTTATAATCAGGAAAAACAGTAACATTATTTTCAGTTAAAATTGGGAAAATCCTAGAAGCAAAACATGCAGTTCCCAGTCTTAGTTTTAAAAAGGGAGGCGGCAGAGACTTCATCAAGAATATATTCTTGACGGGTTTTGTAATTTATTTATTTTTTTATTCTGGGGTGAATGAGAGCATTGGTCTCAATATAACTTTCAATTTAAATTCTAAAAAGCATCAGTTATTTGATCAGGGCTATTTGAGTTGATACCAGAAGCTCTTCAACTTTTTTGTCCAGGGTGCCTTAATGTATTTCGGTAATTTTTTCACAGTGTCCTAAGCCAAAAGGTATAACTAATGTTTTCATTTAAACAGTGGCTTAGTTCCAGGCAACTTTACAAGGGTTTATGTCCTAACTATTTATTTATTTATCTATTTATTTTAATTAATTAGTTAATTTATTTATTTTTGGATCTTCGTTGCTGTGCATGGGCTTTCTCTAGTTGAGGTGCGCGGGCTTCCCATTGTGGTGGCTTCTCTTGTCCCAGAGCACAGGCTCTCTGTGTGCGGGCTTCAGTAGCTGTGGCTTGCAGGCTCTAGAGCGCAGGCTCAGTAGTTGTGGCACACGGGCTTAGCTACTCTGCAGCATGGAGGATCTTCCTGGACCAGGGCTTGAACCCGTGTCCCCTGCCTTGGCAGGTGGATTCTCAACCACGGTGCCACCAGGGCAGCCCTGTCCTAACAATTTAGGAACCTTTTAAAAAGTAATTTATACATATATTACTTTTATATATTTTTTAAAATTATATATATAAAATTTGAAAAATATTTTATTTTTAATGTAGTCTACCTTTCAGAGCTTGGGATCAGATCAGACACTGCTACCCTTACTTTTGTTCAACCTGATTTCACATGGTGTTCAACTTGATTTCACATGGTGTTACTTTTTAACAACTACTAAGACTTCAGCTTCTCAAAGATAGGACATGATTAAGTGGAATGTATTACTATTTAGTGTTAAAATTTAACTACCTCAAGCTAATAAGTTGCTCAGTGCTTGACAGATGTTGAGTATGCCTGTATTTCTCTTAAAAATTTAAGATATCCTGGGAGCCCCTGTGATTTTGATTCAGCATCCTAATGCACCCTGACCCACTGCTTGGAGTTTGTGCATCTATACTGTACATCTTCAGCATTCCTGGATGTATACACCAAGTGAATAGAGATGTCCCTCCCTCCCACTTCCTTCTTTCCTTCTCTCTTCTTTATTCCCTCTTCCTTTAAATATTCAGCATAGTAAATCAGTATGATTAAATGTTATTTTATGTGAACTATTGATGTTTCTGGCAACATATTGAATTAGTGTTATGTCACTAGGGAAAAGAAAGGGCTATGATATAGTACGACATGTTGAAAATTAAGCAGTCACAGCTACCTGAGAATTGGTTGAAACCTGATGAATTTATTGATCTAAGGTTTAGTTTTGTGATTAAGGTACCATAACGACAAATGGAATGACCATTAGTCACGCTGTATTTACTCGTTAGGTTACTGTTGACATTCTTCTTTCACATGATCATGTATAAATTGTCAGTATTTTGTGATTTCTCAAAATGAATAGTAGTAATTGTATCTGCACCTTCTTTTAGGTGTTTGCCCAATTATTGTGAACACGGTGGTCAATGTTCCCAGTCCTGGGACACCTTTCACTGCAACTGTACAAACACTGGATACAGGGGAGCAACTTGCCACAACTGTAAGCCACACACACCTGTGGTTCTTGCCTCTGTCCTGATTCCCTTATTTATTTCCCTTTTTTGTTGTTGTTGTGTGTTTATATGTCCATGTGTGTACAACCCTGGATCTTATTAGCATTCAGTTGATTTCTAGTTTATTTTTAGTCCACACTTCTTTTCCTAAAGTAGTCAAGGTAGCTTACAGAAGCACATAAAATAAAGCAAGACAGAAAAGAGTAAGAGAGCTGGCAGGGGGAAAACATGTGTAGAAAACAAAGGTAGCTAAGGATAAGCATAAAATACAGTGCAGAATAGGTGATCCTTCAATTCTCTTGCAACTCCATTAATAAGGATGATGAGAATAAGGATGGTAGAAATGGAATTAATCATAATAGTTAATTTTATTGAGTATTTTCTAAATGCCAGGTACTGCTCTAGTATTTTACATGTCCCAACTTATTTAATTCTGATGACCACCTTAGTAGGTGGGTGTAGTCATCGCTATTATCCCTAGTTTACTAGGTTACAGGGAGAGTTTAATCACCATGCCCAGAAGCTCCTGGAATAGTTGAGGCACAGTGAGAATGTGAACGCTTGCAATTATGCTCCAGAGGCTGGGACCACAACCAAATACTCTTTTCCTGTGTTAGAAGCCGTTCATTTTTTTCCTGGTGAAAAGTTTTGCACGTGTCGTAAGACTCATGTCATTTTCTTGTCTACTTGTTCAGGACGTGGGATGGGGAGACCCAAATGCCCATTTTTTTCCTTCCCATTTTTTCATATTGTTGGTGACGTTGCTGAGCAGCTTAACTCTCAGTACTATTGGCCCATAGCCATGACTTCAGGCAAGGGCGCTAGGTGCAGTCCCACTCTCGTCTCTTCACTGTGCACTGCTTTGTACTCCTGCTGGAGTTGAGATTGGAATCCTGGGCTCCCACCCCCGGAGGCTCCACAAGAGACCCTCAGAAGTCCTGACTCAGGGCTGGAGAGGGCGTGAGCAGGGGCGGCGGGACCTTCTGGCCTCACCCTCGTGCCTTCATCACTGCAGCCAGTCTTTCCTGGGTCATCAGCTTGTGTGGGTTGGAGTGCCTCATGAGAACAGGAAGAACACCTGCTGTCACTCAAGCCAGGGCCAAGTTACTTGTCCCAAGTCACCAGCAGCAAAGGGACGGTGTATTTTAATTCTTCATATCCGGTATCATCCCAATTATAGTAACTAACTCAAAACAGAAAGCTAATAGAATGTGTTTTAATTGACTGTTTGTTTATTTTCAACTGTTATCAGTGACTAAATCTAAATATAAACACAAACATCTCTGAGCCAAAAAAATCAGACGGTGAAAAAATAACGTATTTTCATCTGTGGCCCACAATGTGATCCAGTCATTGAGTTAATTTATTAGGTTCTTGAGCAGGTAGTCTAAAGGGAGCCGAAGGGTTTTGCCAATGGCGATTCTGGGAAATGGGGCCAGGATGACAAACCCAATTATAATGAAGCCATCAGTATCATTAGCCTGAGTTGAGGGAGCGTGAGTGATGGGGGTCTTTTAAAAGGTTTTACTAGAAAATAATATGTTAAAATGCCAAGTAATACACATAAAGCAAAAGTACTCCCAATTACCCTCATGCAATTGTGCGTCCTTTCTAATACCAGCCCTCTCTGCAAAGTTATGTTTATATCCCAGCCTCTTTCAAAGAATTTATCAATGCATATATGCGTGTATAGTAATAGTATATATAGTAATATATAAATGAACCATTTTCATATGCCCACTTCACTGCACAAAATACAAATGTGACTAGAAACCAGTCCATCTTATATTTCTGTCTGTGTAACATACAATAGCAGTAAAATAAAACCACGAAACTGTGGAGGAGTAGAGAAGTAAATATGTATGATTAGCTGAAATCTCTGCAACACTGAGAAAATTAGTTACATTATTTCATATGATCTAAAAACTCATTAACATAATTTTGAAAATTTAGAATACATCAAGGAATGGTATTCAGGGGATGGTTTATTTCTCATTTCACAAAATTAAAAGCTTGATGGAAATCACCATTACATTTGGCCAAGTGTTCAATGAGATGAGTGCATCATATACAGTTGTTAATATCAAGCCTTGTACATGGCAAATATATAATTGTGTAATTAAAAACATCCAATTATGGATCAAAACACACTGAGACCACTTGAGGGCATATATTTTATATTTCTTCTGCTTTGGATTTTAATTATCTTAAATTCTCATTACAGAGCATTAGAGAAAGTTTCTTATGTAAATTACTTTTAAAATTATTCACAAGAAGCTTTGTAAATCATATTTGTTTTATGGAAAAAAGGATTTTACCTATAGATAATTTTATGTGAGAAAGGAGACTAGTTAAAGCATTATTTAAAACTTTTCTATTGCATAATTTTTGAATAACAGCAGATTATTTAAGGAGATTACGCTATTGTGCTTCACATGTTAGGTTATTACAAGGTGATACTAGAATTAGAAATTCCAAAATGGTTGTCAAAAGATCCATTTGGATGCATGTCCAAAATGGAAGTCACATTATGCTTATAAGGATCTTAACATTTAAAACAACTATCGTCTCCTTTGTTGTTTTACCTAATGTAAAAATGAACTAAATTTTTATTCTCATATTCCTTTAATCATAAAAAGAAATGCCATAAAATACAATCTCATTCTTCCTTTTTTCTAACCTTCTTTCAACCATAGTAATTTAAAAAATGAGTTTTGTTTTAAAGTGTGTGTTACCTTTTCTCCTGGTCAGTGATGTACATACAAATTTCAAGACTTGGAGTATTCTGTGTCCAAATTAAAATTAAAGAAATTAATTTTATACTATTTTACTTATGATGATACTTTTTTTTTTTTTTTTTTTACAGCTATCTATGAGCAGTCATGTGAAGCCTATAAGCATAGAGGAAGTACTTCAGGATTTTACTATATAGATGCAGATGGAAGTGGTCCCCTGGAACCATTTCTTCTGTATTGCAATATGACTGGTGAGTTAATCAATTTTCATTTAATAGTTAAATTTTAAACACACAAAATTAAAATGAAACAAGTAAGAGGTTGACATAATTTGCAACTTGATTAAAATGTATATTGTTCAGTAGAAGAACTTAAAGTAAATCTTTAAAAAATAGTTTAGGGCTTCCCTGGTGGCGCAGTGCTTGAGAGTCCGCCTGCCGATGCAGGAGACGCGGGTTCGTGCCCCGTTTCAGGAAGATCCCACATGCCGTGGAGCGGCTGGGCCCGTGAGCCATGGCCACTGAGCCTGCGCGTCCGGAGCCTGTGCTCCGCAAATGGGAGAGGCCACGACAGTGAGAGGCCCGCATAACGCAAGGAAAAAAAAAAAAAAAAAATAGTTTAATGGTGGTGATTTTAAAATGTCATTATTTTCTGTGCATGTGGTATCTGTGTAGAACATCTAATAATAAATGTATCTTATTAAGTCCCAAAACAAAAAGGATAGACTTTATTCCTCTTAGAAGATTGATACACACCATATGATTTCACTTATAAGTAGAATCTAGAAAACAAAACAAATGAACAAACATAACAAAAGAGAAACAGACTCACAGATACAGAGAACAAACAGGTGGTTGCCCAAGGGGAGGGGAGTAGGGGGATGAAAAGAAAAAAAAAATGTAACAACTGTGGTAATGAATGCTAATTAGCTTGATTATGGTGAGCATTTCACAATGTATATTCATATGAAACCATCACATTACATACCTTAAATATATACAATTTTTGCCAACATAAAGTGGAAAAATATTTTAAATAATAATAATAAAAGAAAAAAGATTGATACACATGAAAACTTTGAAAATACTTTTTAAATTCGGGCAAAAATGAATTTTATTCTTGAATTCTTTACTTACATAAGCTAAAATGGGAATTAATAGTCTTGGAATATGTGTTTGATTAAATTCAACATCCATTCATGATAAAGAGAAAATGAAAACTCAGTAAATTACCAATAGAAGAAAATTTCCTTAATTTGTTAGAGGACCCATAAAAAAACCTACAGCACATATCACAGTTTATTGTGAAATATTGAAAACTTTACCCCTGTTACCAACATTAACACAAAGATGCCTGCTATTATCATTCTGTTCACCATTGTTTGGGAGGTCCTAGCCAGTGCAATAAAGCAAGAGAAAGAAATGAAAGATATATGTACTGGAAAGGAAGAACTATGACTCTCATTATTTGTAGATGGCCAGGTTATGTATTGAGAGTATTCTCAACAATCTACAGACTAACTATTAAAAGTTAGGATGATCACTAGATATCAAGTTAGTGTAAAAATTTAATTTCATTTTTGTATACCAGCAATTAAAATGAAATTTTAGAAGATTCTATTTTCAGTAGCATCAAAAACCTCAAATACATGGCAATAAATCTAAAAAAAGATGTGTACAACTTTTATACAGATAAGTGTAAAATACTCTTGAGATAAATTAAATCCTAAATAAGTGGAGAAATATGAACGTTTCCTTGATTGGAAAACTCAATACGGTGGTATAAACGTCAGTTCTTCCCAACTAGGTATTGATTCAGTGCAAACCTTAATTAAAATTTCAGCAGTGTGTTTGTTCGCTGGTGTAAATTTTTTGGTGAAAATTGGCAAGCAGATTCTACAATTTATCACTAAATTTGAAGGGACAAGAAGAACCAAATCAGTCTTAAAGAGTAAAGTTGGAGGACTCAACTCTACCAGATATAATATAGACATTATATTGATAGGCTAAGTAGAACAGCATGTAATTGACACAAGGATAAACAAATAGACCAATGAAGCAACATAGAGAATCTATAAACAGACTCCCTCATATATGGATAGTTGATTCATTGCAAAGGTGGCACTGATGAACAGTGAAGGAAAGATGGTCTTTTCAACAAGTGGTGCTGGGGAAAATTGTCTGTAAATATTGTAAAAAAGACTCTTGATCCCTTCACCATCAAACACAAATAGATTCTAGATGAATCGTGCAGTCCAGTGTAGTGGCCACTAGCAACAAATGCCTATTTAGATTCACATTTAATTAACATTAATTAATATAACTAAATGACTTGAAACAAATTTTACAAGTTTAAGTTAATTCATTAAAATAAGATTAAATTAAAAGCCAATTCCTCAGTCTCACTAGCCACATTTTAACTGCTCCATAGCCATCTGTTCCATCATTGGAAAAAGTTTACACTGGATAGCGCTGTGTCAGGAAGTCAGCATTTCATGGAGCAAAATAAGGAGAAAAAAGGAAATATGAAGTTGAAGCAGGAGGCTTGGCAGAGGAGGATTTACTACTTAAAATCTGGCAGTGAATATCTAGGGAAAGAGCCTTCCG